ACTTCACCAACTAACTGTGCATTTTTGTAGCCCTAGGCATATACATATTTAAATGCAAAATTTGGTTCATTAGATAAGAATAAGATGTGGTCAACAATAGTTTGAAAAAATATCTTTACTAAATGTGTATTTTAAGAGATTACTAGAGTCAAGGTCCTGATGCAAGGAAAGTTATTTCAGAGGTGTACGCATTTTTTGTACTGCAGTGTACTGTCTCTGGGCGGAAAAATAAACACAAGACGAATGTCACAGCCTGAAATGGAATCCATTTTCACAAAACAAAATCTATGAAATATTCTGGTCATAGGAAACTATATGTGAATTTTCAAAATTATCAAAATTAAATGCTTTTAACCTCCTCGGATACTAAACGAACACTGATGCATCTATTCTTGTTTACAAAGTCCGCCCAGATAGAATTGGTTTCAATATGTACGCAGATTATACGCGACCACAATTAACTTTCCTTGCATTAGTACCTTGACTACTGTTAGCATTTTCAGACATCTAGATTTCTTCGCCCCTGACAGTCATTAAGAATATTGAAATAGATTATTAAATATTGTTCAAATCAAAAGTTTGAAATTAAAAAATAAATACATGTTAGAAGATTGCTGGTGATCATGCTTTGAATTGGCTGATTTCTACATTTTTCTGACAGATATACAACACATTAAAATGAATAATTTCTTAATTTTTTCAATTAGGGGCGTACTCAGGAATTTTTCCAGTGGGGTGGGCCTTACATTTTATTTCTTTTTAGAAAATTTTTCACTTTCTACCCCCTTTTAGACTTCCAGTTTGCGCCCCTGCAGTTGGCAAGTTACATTCGGGCCTGAAAACCATTTAGGCATGTACAGGACTTACTTCAGAAAAAACTTGATTTAAAATAATTATTATTATATAAATCTATATTGGTTCTAAGCGATACACCGATCAAATTAACAATAAAACAAAATCATAGGGTTTCGCATAGAACAATTTATTCCTATTTAAAATAATGATTTATAGATTTACCCCTTTTGTGATAGCTACACTCCAATTTGTTGAAAGATTAACAATCCCACCATCCCCTCAGCCCCCTCCCCCTTCCACCCGTCTACCCCTACCCCTCCTCCACGATTCAATTAATATCTGAGCTAGGGGTTTATAGAAGGGGGGGGGAGGCGTATAGATGTAGGTTATTACGTGCTCACACGCTTTAGTAGAGTGACCGTCTCACGAGTCTCGGTAGGAGTTGTTTGACCGCTCAACTCCTATCAAACGTTCAGTAGTTTAGCTTGAACCATGAGCAGGGTTAGTTGTGACTCAAGCTCCGGTTTAGTTGATCTTATTTGTTCTCCTGGAGGATCCCAATCATTCTATCGCCAGCTAGTTCCACGGACTACAGGTCCAAGAGAGAGGAAGGATCTGATCAATGATCTAACTGTGTTCTGTTTATCCTACGGAGTGTCAAAGGATTGTCTTGATCTTGTGGTTTCCAGAGGGTTTATCTCGAAAGCATTATTAGCGCTCTTACCCGTAGATAAGCTTGAGGAGAAGTTTCCTGAGATTTCATCCAGAGATAAGAACCTTCTCCGGAACTGTATTTCATCCCTTGATCATCGTCCAGAATATCAGGTTTCCATTGGACTGGGAATGCTTGCTAAACCTAGCTCCCGTATGAAAGTGGACCCTGAGAAAGATAATGTAACCCCAAACCGTGATGCTGAGATTACAGCAGCGCTGGAGTTGGCTGAAACTGCAAGAAAATTGCTTGAATGTCCTGTCTGCTATCAAACCTGTCGACCTCCGAGGATCTGGCAATGTACAAATGGACATCTGACCTGCGACATGTGTCATCACCGGTCGGACACATGCCCACTATGTCGTTCACCCTTCACTAACATCCGACCGTTTACTGCTGAGAAGTTGGCACGTCAAGTGACCGTGAACTGTAAAAACAAGCCAGCAGGGTGTCAGCAGTTCCTTCCCTGGCAGGACAAAGAAGACCATGAATCTAAATGTGATTTCAGTACAGGACACTGTCCAATTCTCTCGTGCCCGGTTCAGTTTCTCCTCAAGGACGTCCTGGAGCATCTCCAGCTCTGTCACAACTTAACCCTGGAGTACTCCGGGATGAGAATAGCTCCGGGGGAAATGATTTACAGATCCCAGATTTCTACAGCTAACTACATGCACCCAACAGCAGACAATCAGAACTGTTGGTGGGGACCACAGTTTGTTATGTACCAAACCATCCCGTTCTTCTTCGTTATCTCCAGGAAGGTTGATAACTTCGACGGGAACGGACATTTTTATTTCTGGGTATGGTTGGGAGGTAAAAGTGTTGATACCCGGAGATTTCTGTACACAGTGACCTTAGAGGGAGGAGGAGGAGAACGGATTAGTTATACAGCTAAACCTGAGAGCATTGAGAAGGGAGTATCAAGGATTAGGGAGGAACAGAGTTGTCTTATGGTCTCTGATCTCGGAGTAAAGAGGTTTCTCACAGGGTCGGAGAAGATACTCAAGTACTCGGTGGAGATTATTGACAAGGATCTAAAAATTCTTTCTTAAAATCTGTATTTTCGGACATTTTTGTTTTATATTTGAACTGTATATATGTAGAAATTCGACGTTTTGGATTATCGTATTATTGACATTTATTGCAATAAAATCTACATTATAAAATAAACATTAATAAAAAATAGAAAATTCTTTAAAAGCTGGTATTACGAGAGTTTGAAAATATCTTAATCATGGTTATAAATCATTTCTTTTTAACAATTTATATGCATGGTTTATATCATCAACAGATCAAGTAAAAAAATTAAAATTACCATGTTTACTCCAATCGAGAAATAACAGAAAAAAATAGTTTTATACAGTGATTACATACAACTCTGGAATAGGAAGACGGCTTTGAGACTCAAGTTATGACTTTAAATATTCTTAATTATTGCCTTAATGTCGTCTTCCTATTTCACTGTTTTCTGGTTCTCACTGTGGTACGTTCTTTCATGGTCGCATTTAAATGTTGTTTAATTACAATTCTAAGCTTTGGTAAAGGATAATTAATTTTTTGTATTTTTCAAAAACATTCCATGATTATTCTCTATTATGCTTGTTGTATATACAGGAGATATTAGTTCCCAACCTCTAACATTTGGCCCATTTCTAACATTTGGAACTAATTACCCCTGATATAACAATACAATGAAGAATACTGTCTATGTTGATTTTCATCCCAGTATAAACACTTAAACAAAGAGAAGTTGTCAATGAACAGCTTATCTTTGTGAATTATAAGTCGTCTTCATTGTATTGATATAATCGCCGAGCCGGCCAATGTAGTTGAAATTGAGGAAATATTTTTTTCCCTCTTATTAAATTATTCAACAGAAACTGTATCCCTCAATATCTATGACTGCAATGAAAAAAAAAATCTGAAACCTATTGGACAAAAGAAAACTGTGCGCGAAATATTTTTTTGGTATTTGATGATTAGAAAAATTTTCTTCATAAGCCGGAAAGAAAAATTGTTAGGTTCTTTCCCAAAGGCATTTTCCAATGTCAAGTGAAAATTTCCTAAGTGGCAACTTCCCAAAAGTGCAATTTCCCAAGCGGCAACTTCCCAAATGTACATTTTCCCAAATGACAATTTTCCAAGTGGAAGTTGCCTCTTGGGAAAATGCCCTTGGGAAGTTGCCTCTTGGGAAAATACCCTTGGGAAGTTGCCGCTTGGGAAAATGCCCTTGGGAAGTTGCCTCTTGGGAAAATGTCCTTGGGAAGTTGCCTCTTGGGAAAATGCCCTTGGGAAGTTGCCTCTTGGGAAAATGCCCTTGGGAAGTTGCCGCTTGGGAAAAGGCCTTTGGGAAAGTACCTTACATCAAAGAAAACATATGTATCGAAAATGTTATTTATTTTAATTATTGATGACCCCCTATTGCAAAGATTGCAATGCCCTATTTACGTATACAACGGTATCCATAAAAAGGTTGTCAGACGAAGACTGGAAGAGATATTAATGTTTAAAATTTTGAAAACTGATTATTTTCAATTGTGGTCTCTCTACAAAAGTGACTTTTGCATTTTTACTTCAGGAAAACAATATAAAGTCAAATACTTTAAACCTTGAAAAACGACAATATCAGTCACATTATTTATCAGATAAAGGTTTCAAGATGTAAGGTGTAAGATCATATTTTATGGAGTTTTTGCCTGAATTAATTTAATCATTTTATTCAAGAAAATATGGAAATTTTTAAGGATTTCCGGAATAACAGTAAATCTAGAGGTTTAAAAATATATATTTACATTTTACATATATAACAATTTATACAATTGTTCAAGAGACATAAATATTTATATATATATATATAAAAAGAGCTTTGTTGTATACAGATTATGAACACAATGCTAGATACATATATTTGGTTATAATTCCTTCGCGTGTTAACATTAAAAAATGAAATAATTCTTCTGATAAAAAATGCAATTTTGTTATAATAAATTTTGGGTTCACAAATATCATGATTCAGAACTGAATATTTTTAGAGAGGCGCTCAAATGTTAAGAAAATATTAAGAAATTGAGTTTTTGCCTGAAATTCTGATTTGCTAATCCCTATAACTTTGCAACCAAATGCCGTAGACCTTAGATATTTCAAACTATGAATTCTGTTAGATCAAAAAATATCAAGCTGCGAAAAAATTTGATTTTTCGACGAGACTCAATTCCTTTAATTATAAATTTATCATTTGAAATAATTTGTTTCAACCACTAGTTGAATAGTTTATTTCTTTAAAGTTTGAAGGGACTGATCAACTTGTTAGTAAAACATAGTTTTTATATCTGCAATAGGCATTTAGCTGTATTTTAGAATAGGTGAACGAGCTCCCACTTGTATGCGATTCCATTAGCACCTGATCTAATCAGGGTTCAGTCATGTGTTTGGTTTCTATGTTAAAGCAATAGAAATTGCATGGAAGTATCATCTATCTTTCTATCTATCTCATTATCCAATTAGAGATGAATCCTTATATCGGGACTAATCAGTAAATGTAAATATTTACTTCTACTGAAACTATAGTGAGCTAGGATCCAATATACCCATTTTATAATTGTAAATTACCCGTAAAAGAGCCTTTTTATGTTTCTTCTTAATACATGCATTCAAATCTAGAAGCTTCCCCAGTCATAAGGGTAAGAAAATATGGGATACAGGGTTATATACCTCGTTTATTCCATGCATTTCCTGTTTGTCACATTCTAAATAGCGATCATCAAAGCTTGAATACTGTTTTGCTTTTTCAACAATTTTATCAAAGCATATAATCATTTAGATCATTAGATTAGATCTCATAAAGATTAGAATAAATCAAGCAGGCATACATAGAGAATACACATCAAAGGTCCACCGCTTAATATCACTTGGTATTTCCCACTGCTGACATTTTCCAGAAACTTTGAAGCTGTCACTTTATCCTTGTCAACCTTATCTTCCTCTTCAGGATAGAACCTTCGCAGAGGGTTGGGTTTACGAGTTGTTGGTTCCGGAGGAGGGTAGAGAGTAGCGGGTAGTCTGGAGTCAGTATCCGTCCTCTCATCTCCCATATAATCCTTGGAACCATCTTTAATACTATCCTGGGTATACTCAGGGTACTCTGTATCCTCCGGGAGTACTGTAGTTGCTGGAGCTGGATTGGTTGGAACTGGAGTAGGTTTAGGATGACGCGGAGCCGGTAAACCTGTCTCCAGGTAGGATGGAACACCCTGGACTATCGATATACTTTCTACCGAGGTCAGGGTTATTATTCCTTCTATATTTGTTTCTTTTCTCACATCGTCCTTGTATAACTGGATGAAGACTGCTGTATAAGGAACATCTCCACTGAAGAGAACCCCCTGATAGTTTATTATTTTTTTCGTAAATTAATTTTATAATGTACTACCTTGGGAATCCGCTTTATCTGGAAACTAAGTTTTACCAATAAAAGTCAACATACTTAACTTAAAACTTTGAAACCAAGCGGCGAACATTCCCGTGGTTCTAACAAACTCCCCAATAAAAATTTTAGTCAAATCGGTCATGGGGTTCGCAAATTATGATCGGACATACAACAAACTGACAAACAAAGATTACTACTTGGGAACCCAGCGCTGCCCAGGTTGCTAAAAGTTACTCCCGCCGTTTACCCGCACGATTTTAAATTTTCGCTATTAAAGTAGACCCACTCAACTTAATCTAAGAATATTCCCTTGGTCCAGGGGTTCCTAAGTTATGATCGGATAAACAAACAGACAAACAGAGATTACGCTTTTATAGATGTATCATGTAGAGGGTAAATTGATATTTAAAGATTTTAACAAAGTTACACAATGAAAAAATGTTTCGAGAAAATTCTCGGAAAGAAACTGATTACTCTACTCATCCTCTAATTTTCGAATCCCCATATCTTTGCAACCTAATGACGTATACCTTTGATATTTCTAACTATTAATTTTGCAAAATGGTAAAATTTTAAATATTTATGACTAGTTGGCTGAAATGTCCGGCGTTGCCCATGGAATTTTAAAAATCGAATTTTGAAGAAAAAATCTAATCTTTATAGCCCAAGGTACCCGTTTGGCCAGCTATATCTAACATATATATGTATATATACAGTCATAACCAAAAAACTGTGAAATAGGAAAACGACATTAAAGCATTTCTGGAGTGCATTTGATGTTGTTTAAAGCAAATAGCTTCACCTGAAAGCTATTATTTTACTTATAAAGTAAAATGGGTCTGTTTAAATTACGCAATTGCTGTCTCTCAGTTTTCTGGTTATCACAGTATAATTATGCTGAAGTGCTCGGCGATACCAGTGAATTTTAGAAACAAAAAAAATTTGAATTAAAAAAATCGAATTTTTTTTAGCTTTTGTTACCCACGAGGTACTCAAGGTTACCCTAAAAAAATTCAGCCCATTTGTTATAGCCGTTTTGAAAAATAAATTGACTTTTAAAAAACAATTCGATTTTTGAAAAAAAAATTATCTTTGGAAAAAAATCTAATTTTTTCAGCATATGTTCACCTCGGGGTAGTCAAGCCGGTCCAGCAGTTTGGCCAGGTATAGATAACATATAAATATATATGAGCGAAGAGCTTTATTATAAAGATAAAGATTGCGCCCTCAGGTTTAGAAAATTAGAGTTTGAGGCGAGTTTTCAGTTTTATTCCTTTTTCTGTTTTCTGGGATTTTAATTTTTGAAAAATAAATAATTTCCTCAAGAGTTATGTCAATTTTGGTTCCAGGTTGAAGGTTGGCTCCGACCCGTCTTTCTCCAACCTCATCTCCATTCCACTCCATACCCCAGGGGAACTGGTAGGTTCGGTTTCTCAACCTTGTCTCCGTGTCTATTCCCTTACTGGTTCCAGGTATATGATCCCAGGACTGGGAGACAGGTTCGGAGAACTTAATCCGTCCTTCAATATATTTCCAATCCTCGGGTTCGGTTTCATCCTTGTCTCTAGAGATAGTAATTTTTCCCAGGACTATATCACGCTTTTTTATCTTTCCTCGTCCAGTGTTCAAATCAACGGAATCTAAACAAACATACTTTATCCATTCATTTCTTATATTTAACTGGGAACCAAGCTTTGACTTGGGAAACGAATTTCTTTTTTTAAAGTCAACCTACTTCACTTAGAGTTTTTAATTCAAGTTAGAGACAGATTATGCTTCATAAATAGGTTAGCTTAGTAGCCCGGCTTTGCCTGGAGTTTTCCCTATTGTAGTCACACCGGACTAACCAGAGTGAGCAGCATTCGGTTTCTTCTATTTGAAATCAAACGTTTTTTGGTCTTTAATTCAATAACAATTTACTTTACGGATTTGCTATTTTATACATTTGTATTCAAAGTGCATTTGTCAAAAAAAAGTATTTAAGAAAAAAGTCTAACAAATTATTTTTAATGGGTCAAATTGTGATCGAAAGTCACAGATTTCTGGAACATTGACAGAACCGTGAAATCCACGTGTAGTGGACCCACTCAACTTTAATTTCAAAACCAAATTAAGAACATTCCCGTGGTTCTACCAAGTTCCCCAATCAAAGGGAAATCTGTCATGTGTTTTATAAGTATAATGATCGGGCATACAAACTTTTACGTTTGCCCCTCTAACTCACTTTTTTGTAGCTTTGGGATTTTACATTTTTTGTAGCTTTGGAATTTTACATTTTTTGTATCTTTGGGATTTTACATTTTTTGTAGCTTTGGGATTTTACATTTTTTTGTATCTTTGGGATTTTACATTTTTTGTAGCTTTGGGATTTTACATTTTTTTCCAGCTTTGGGATTTTACATTTTTCTAAGGCAAAGTGTTAGTTTTTATATTTGGTTTAAACGGAGTAATCTGAAATATTCTGTTTATTTTTGTTAACAGTGCATTGATGATGCAAATTAAGGATTATTGACGGGGGTTCCAACCCCCCAAGTGTCAAGGCCTGGTGACAATAAAAATTGGTCCGATGTTAATACTTGAGGCCTAATTTTCATAGCGTCTAAATCGTTGCTGATTCTTTTGATCGTAATTTATTTGAAACCTCGCAATTTTTTTCTAAACAATTTTCTCAAATATCTTCCCTGTCAGCATTATTAAATATTTTAAAATCTTTATCAATCTAGCTTTTACCTTAATCAAATTATCTATCTAACTATCTTTATAAGTATTATCAGAGGCGGGAAATATTGATTGATTTCGATCTTTTGTTAATCTAAAGACTATATTTATACGATAGTAAAGTTTCAATAAGATACTTACCAATAATATATTTGACTGGTTCTATCTCAACGAGAGCTAAACCTTGGACCGAGAGCTCTGAACTGTTCTCAGTAACATAGGACTAGAATACGGTTCAATTAAACTCATATTCAAATTTAAAAAATAAAAATACAATTGTTTACAACTACCTCTGAAAAATGATACAGGACGTGTTATACGATACATTTGCAACATGTTAAATTACAAGATAAATTAAATTATAATTTTCTTGCCTTTATATTCCCATTTAATCCTCGATTAAAGTCCAGTTCTCCGATTATTTCCCGCCCTGTCTCCGTTCTAAAGCTTCCAACGTAGGTTTTAGTATTGTACGCGACTGTTCCTGTTTGCGGCATCGTGTACATGTCCCAGTATCTCCATTCATACCTGGACAATGAGGTTCCATCCACTAGAACCTAGAAGAAATAGTACATAAAGTATTGTTAATGAATTATGACAATTAATTGGATTTTTGCCTAAAATTCTAATTTTCCCATCCCAATATCTTTGAAACTTGATGGTCTAAACCTTTGATATTTCAAACTTTAACTACATAATATTTTTATCTTTCGAACTATACCAGAAAGTTGAAAAAAGAATGAATCATGGCTCAATATTGTTTCCCAAAAAACTACCTGATATTCAGTATGCTTCTTTAACCCTGGGCCTGCCAGACAGGAACCGGAGAGATCTGTACGCCCGGCGCGCTGCTCATTTCCGTCCCGTACCCTGCAGACGGCTGAGTCTTCAACTAGAACTAGTCGGGAGGTTGGTATCCGTCCTGATACTATATCCTCAACCCGGGCCCAGCTCAAGGTACTAAATATTATACAGATTAAGACTTTTGTAATATAAATTCATTCAGATTTATTAGAATTTCCCTTTCATTCTCTGGTGGATAAACTGAGACAAAGATGTATGACTCAAAGTGATTGTAAGCGTAATTTCAAGTGGCCCTCCCACTATAGTTTCAGTAGAAGTGAATATTTTTATTTACTGATAGCGCCGATTGAAGGATTCATATCTCTAATTGGATAATGAGATAGATAGAAAGATAGACGTAACCGCCATACTATTTCTATTTGTTCAGAATAGACAACAAACACATGACTGAACCCTGATTGGATGAGGCGCTAATGGACTCGGTATACAGGAGTGCTCCATGCACAGATATGCAATGCCCGATTTACCACGGTACCCTTATGAGCTTTGTCTGATCAATGAATGAGGTATCTATATATTTTTAACTGATTTTAACTGTTTGTGGTTTCTCTGCAAAAGTGATATACGCATTTCTAGCTCGTAATTCATAATAAATTCACAGAATTAAGAACTTTCCAATTCAGAAAATTTACGTCATCTTCCACATTTTGATGAGACTAAGATTTCAAGGTTACCGTTGTAAATCGGGTATTGCTATCTTTGCAAGCAGGGTCACTTAAAATTACGCTAACAGTCCCTTTAATAATATTACATTTACTAATTAAGAACTGATAATGTTTAAAATTACGCTTACAGTCCCTTTAATAATATTAAATTTACTAATTAAGAACTGATAATGTTTAAAATTACGCTTACAGTCCCTTTAATAATATTACATTTACTAATTAAGAACTGATAATGTTTAAAATTACGCTTACAGTCCCTTTAATAATATTACATTTACTAATTAAGAACTGATAATGTTTAAAATTAATTAGAAAATATTCATAAACTGCAATACAACCATTCAATCAAAACTTTAGAAAATGATTAAGTTTTAACTATTATTGCATTTGATAAAACTTTATTATGCAACAAAATAAAAAAAGTTTTTTTATGTGTAAAATGTTTTATTGTATTCTGGTCCATTCCATCTTTCATAATCACTCCCTTTTAGTAAAAGATAAAAATCAGTTTTAAAATACTTTTGTTTGTTTTGCTTGAAATGTTAAATATTGTTATTTATTTTTTACTTTTGATAATTAGTTAAAGTTCTTTAATTTTGCTAATTTGAAATAATAACTTTAAACCTTACACACAAAAATTCCATTCATTCTTTGATTGCAAAACCTTAGCAATAAGCTAATCAATAAGAAAGCAATTGGAATTTTAAGATTTAAAGAGTCTGTTGCTGTAATTCCACCCTTAAAGAGTTGCATGCAAGATTGGCAAAGGTAGCCTTTAATAAACCGTGTTCAATTCTTTAAATTTCCTGCATTGTTTTACAACAGAAATCCGCGTGTCACTTTGGAAAAGAAACTGAAAATAAATAATTTAAAAAATCGTTAATATCTCATTCATTCGCAATATTAAACAGCTTTTAAGGGTACCGTTGTGAATCAAGCATGCCAGTCAATAAATGGTGAGCCATTTAAATGTTCATCCACTGCTCCTTTAGCTGAGAGTTCAAGTCGTTTTGTTGGGTTCTACAATAGAAACAAAGAAACAAAGAACTTACCATACACTCTAATTTTCGAATTCCTATATCTTTTTTTTTAAATATGAATTCTGTTAGATCAAAAAATCTAAGTTTGAAATATTCAATGTTTACATCATCAGGTTGCAATTATTGATTTCGCCTTTAAAATTTTGTGAAACGCTACCTTGATGTCATAAGATGTTTATAACTGGAGAGAATATAGGCTCTCTCCGTCCTTAGGGTCAACCAGTCCTTGTGTGTGAGTGTATGTACAGGGTCCAAGAGCAGAACCAGGAGTAGGACGGAGAAGAGAAACCTAGGTCGGAGAAGAGATCCTACAGCAGAGTTCATCCTAGCTCTTCAACATTCCTATAACAAGAACGGATAAGACAAAGGGACAAACTCAGATTTTCTAATCCCTAGATGTTTGCAACTCAATGTCGAATACCTTTATGTTTCAAGATATGAGATTTGCTAGATCAAATCATCTAAGTTTGAAATATCAAAGGTTTAAACCGTCAGGTTTCAAATACAAAGGAATGAAAAACAATGCTATGGCTTCATTTTCAATTTCTAAATCCTCTTAATCCAACAATAGATAGAAGGAACTGAGTCTTTACACAAACTCTTATTTTCTAATCCCCATTTCTTTGCAGTCTAATGTACAGCAGTACACCTTTAACATTTCAAATATGAATTCTGTTTGATCTATAATCTAATTGTTTAACTCCTTCAAGGTACAAAAGGCATAGAGATTAAAAAATTTGAGTTTGTGGCAGAGACTCAATTATTATTCTTATTATTTATTTGGAGTAGAATGTACTCGCAAACACATATACATAATATACATATACGTATCTATTACTATAGATATAGCTTGTTGGTATATCTCAAGTTCGATCTAGACCTTGTTATTTCAACCATTGACAAGCGCTACCAAATACAACTACAATTGGTAGGCAATATAGCAACCCCCCCCCCACTCCTTGAAACCAAGAGAGGGGAATTAGAAGATAAAAGGAGTAATTGGCAAAATGCTGCTCGATTTTACTTTGGGAACGCGCACATCTCGGTTTGCAGTGTGTGTACTGTATCTTTCTACTTTAAGTTAATAATAAGCCTGACTCCTGACTATAAGTAATTAAACAAGATTAATCTTTTTATCCTAAGCCTTAATCATTCTAGTCAGGCACCATTCAAACTTTGGCAGAGGGAGTCCTACAAAAAGTATTTCTGTGAAAAATGAGCAGATTGGAAATTTTAAAAATAAAATTGAAGAGCGTGCATCAGTGGATACATAATGAAAAATTTATTGATTTAAACTTCTCAATTTCTAAATAAAACTATTAAATTTTAAAGTTTAAGTTTCAGCAAAAATGACGAAGATATTCTTATTTTTCGGGATAAAAATTATTCAACAAAGAATTGTGAATCAGGGACTTGAATTGGGGAGTCACTTGAAATTATGTTAATCACTTTAAGGAGTTAAACTATGTAGCTTAAATCCATCTTATTTAAAAGTTGTTTGCTCATATCCTGACTTATATTAAGATTCTCTAATTTCTAAACGTGAGTAGGATGCAGCCCTCCTGGCATGTATTGGCGTATTTACATAATAATGGTTCTAACAGAAGTAAAAAACATAAATATAATTAGGTATTCATTTTATACAAATTTATCATACAAATGCCAAGCATAATTGGCTTATGCAAGCCTTGATTAACATAAAATACAAATGCAATAACATCCAATTAATTCTACCCGGGAGGGGGAGGGGGAGGGGAAGGGGGAAGGGGGATTATTTACAGTGCGAAAATTTCTTATTTTGAGAATCATTTTTTGTTGTGAAAATTTCAGTATTTTTCTCAAACTGAAAGACACTGTTTGCTACAAAAAAAATAGTTCTGTAAAATTTTCGTCGAGATAAATGGACAAAAAAGTTATATTCTTTAAAGGGAGAGACCGACTAGGTAACATATTTGTAACAAAAATGTACAGTAAACAAATTTGTTGTTTAAAAACATATTTCTCAATATGAAGTGATGAAATCAATGGTAGAATCAATTATTTCTTTATTATCATTCAATTAAATTTTTTCTTGATTAAAAGTTTGTTCGCAGATTTCTTCAAGTTCTTCAAATGTCTTTTTTTCAATGAAAATTCCAGGAAATCTAGGGAAAACATTTGTGAACAATCAAACATTGCATTACAGAGTTAATTTTTTTTTATTTGTTTCTAACACAACAAATTAGATGACTGCAGAATTAAAATAATTGTATAATTCTGCAGACCATCTCGTCTAGTGAAATATTAACTCTTAAAAATGTCATAAATGAATAGTGTTCAAAAGAGTGTTACCACTTCAAGGTATGATTAGTAAAAACTACCTCTCTAATCCTATCTGAGGTCAACATTTCTGAAACTAAAAGTGTCACAACAACAACAACAACAACAACAACAACAACAACAACAACAACAATAACAACAACAACAACAACAACAACAACAACGACAACAGCAACAACAACAACAATAACTACATTTACAATGACATGCTTATCTGCAAAAAAAGGTCACTTGAAATTACAATGACAGTTATTTTAATGTTTTCAGGCCTTTAAACATGATTCATTTCATTTTCCTATTGCCTACAAAAATATGAGAGCTATACCGCATAACATGAATTTAAACCCTCATTTGATAAAAGCTGCAACATTTTTTCAAATTGTCATGTCCTAGTTCTTACCAGGGGCTAGAGACGACTTGGAAATCGTCTTTGATTGATAAATGGCAAAAAAGGGGGGGGGGGATTTGTTGCGAAAACGTTTGAGATAAGAAATCCTATAATTTGAAATCTTTTTCAGATAAAATCGCGTCATTTGCTGTTCTCGACCTGGAAATTTCCATTTTTAATCTCCAGGGGGAGGGAGGTAGGGGAGAGACCCCCCCTTCCTAGTTGCGACTGTGCATTTTAGTGGTGCAGGATTTATTTAACAATTTACTGTTTGCATTCCCGAAGATAAATAGGTTGGGAACTATCTGATTAAAGGAATTGACACAAATGGTTTGAATAAATCAGTCTCAATTGATACTTTTAACAATCAATTAATCTCATCAGATTATAGTAGTTCGTTTACTATAGGAACTAAAACTAATACAATACTGGTTCTGAGATTTAACGATTGCGTGATAAAATAAATGCAAAACAAAAACTTTCCCTTTCATTGAAAACTTGCTATAAATTATATTTTTAGCAATGAATAGATATATATATATATACAAATAGATTTATATCAAAGCGCTCCACCCTCAAACCTTATCTACTCGAATTCCTAGAGTACTCTTATACTCCTTATACTATTTTGCACTTTTCTCGAATGCCTGGGTTCAGGCAATGGGTTTATAACTTATGAACCCATTGCTGGCTTACCTCAAATTTTGATTGGGGAACTCGGGAATGTTTTTAGCTCGGGTTAAACATTCTAAGGTGAGGGGATCAATCTTTGTAGAGAAAATGTTGTTTCCAGTCAAAGCTGGGTTCCCGAGCTAGTCTTATATATAGTTAAAGTTGAGCTAGTGTTATATATAGTTAAAGTTGAGCTAGTGTTATATATAGTTAAAGTTGAGCTAGTGTTATATATAGTTAAAGTTGAGCTAGTGTTATATATAGTTAAAGTTGAGCTAGTGTTATATATAGTTAAAGTTGAGCTAGTGTTATATATAGTTAAAGTTGAGCTAGTGNCTTGAACCGATCGGGCCCAAATTTTTTGTGGGACATCTAGGGACCCCAGGGAAGGTTTATGAAAAATCGGAATTTCAAATATTTGTCTCCATCAAAATTCGATCGTCATTAAATTTTTTAAAATTTTGAAAATCCGCGAATTATTTTTGCTTTGTTTTCCTATGTACACAAAGAGAACATGTTCACACCTAATTTAGAAGATGGGCGCGAAGCGCCTTGAATTTCTAGTATAGATAAAGTTCTCAATTCAAAAGTTAGAACTTTAGAGCCTAACTCCCTCTCTTTCAAAAGTTTCTACCCCGGGATTATTTTGAAAAACATAACCTTGAAAACCTGACAAGGAAATTAGGCTGTAAAAAGGCTACATAAAGCAGAAAGTGCGCTGAAAGGTTAAATTTAGAATTTAAAATGTTTTGGTCTTGTTAGATAAGAGAGGGTTGTATAAACATTTCACAATCTAAATATATACGTTACACAATATACAGGGTTACACACAAAATATTTTTTACTTGACGAATTGAAGGTTTTAAGATTTTAAGGGATGTATGATGTACTTTCAAAAGATGCTCAATTTATAAAGTGGTGTACGTGTCACAGTAAATTATAGAGGTCCTGGTAAGGAGTCCGGAGAGTCTTAATTTTCGAATCTTTCTTACCAATAAAATGAAGATTTTTCGTGTTAGATATTTATACTTTTTTGGTTGGGCTATGTATTTAAAATACATTGATAACCAAAGAAAGGAGACGAGTCAAGTGTTCTCTTTTAACAGTCCTGCAATGCACATGTCAAACAGCTAAATTGTACAGTTAAAAAAACCATTTCACTTAATATGTGATTTTGTTTTTCTAAATTTCTCTTCAATTAATGGAGTTATAATTGATAACATCTGAAATATCAATATTCATGAAAAAACAGTGAATTATAGATATAAACATCGAAATATGTACGTGGATAGTACATATATACTATTATATGTAATATAATATATATAATATATATTATGTAGTACATATATACTATTTGCATGTTATATTTACATATTTGGTGCCTATGTAGAAATTAAAATTGGACAAAATTGAAAGTTTTGATTAGAACATCGTTGTACATTTTTCTTTTGAACTATTCATAACACCAAATAATGTTTCTAGAGCGATTGATTTCAAATACAGATGCAAAGTTATGGTCTGATAAATTTTGCACCGTTTTGCGCATAAAAGCATTTAATATATTAGTTATATATTCTGAAAAAAATGACAAGGTGGTCTGCACAACCTTCAAGTTTAAAATACAGGGTGTCCCGATAAACATGGGAATTGAGAGACGACTTGGAAATCGTCTTTGATTGATAAATGGTTAAAAAAGTTTGAATAAGATTCTTTTGAATATTGCTGCAGGGGGGGGGGGCACGGGAGGGGAATTTTAGGGGGCCATGGGGGACTGTTTTTTTCACAATACTCATCTCAAATGCATTTGTCTTGTGTCTCATGGTGAGAATGGAAAAAATGAATATATGCTGATAATTTTTTTCATTTACAAGCATTGTATCAATTGTAGCTTGCATTGAGTAACAATGATTTCAATTTATAATTACTTTTCCTGTTCATATATTTTTTCTTGAATGGATCC